TCTGGTGATTTCGTCTGTATTGAGAGTGCTCCTAGTCTTACAGGACCAGCACCAACACATACTTCTGTGAGTAAATTGGAGTCAAAATATGGCATTGCACTGTCACTCATGAGTCATAGTATTATCATAGTTAATGCATTCTCATGTTATTTGATCCATATTCACTGTCAATTTCTTTTTGTCAATCCATGGACATGGTGGGTGAAAGTTTGAAAATCTGGTGCAAAATGTCTGCAGTAACCTAATTCCTTCTTTCATGAATATTTACACAAAGTACTCGAGTCTAGAGTTAGTAAACTTTCATTTTTCTTGGTGAGAAGTTTTTATCCAATAGTCTTTCAAAGATTACTCTGAGTTCTTTGTTATGGACGTCTGATACATCTAAGACTTGGTGTATAATGTTTTTAAAAACTTCTGCAATGATGATATTCTGAAGTTCAATCTGGGTTATCTTCTGAGACCTATTTGAGTAGAGAATGTTGTAATGTACTGACTCCCTGGTACTAGTTGTAGATGGTGATGTCATGCTTTCGGATCTAATTTACAAAAGACTTGAGCTTTATTAAAATCTTCTGTTATGTCATCAATGATTGGACGGTATGTATATTTCTTTCAATGTTTGTTTTGGCAGTCTTAAGTCGAAATATATTCTATTCTTCTCTAGGTTTTGATGCTTGGGATTTACTACTACTTTTGAAACCCACGAAGATGGTTCATCTAGTTATTTATAATTGTTTGGCTATCCAGTGATAATACCTGTTCTTTGATGTTGAATGGAATTACCTGTTGGATTTAATCACTGGTTACATACATTTACCTAAGAAAAGTTTAACTTCAAAGTTTTTGGTTTTTCCCTATACCAGAGAAACCTTCTGAATGATCACTTATCAAAGCTGCTATCTCACAGGGGAGCTCTTGCTAGGGGTATACAGTCTTTATAAACAACACAAGTGCAGATGCTGTTGCAAAGGAGCAAAGTGATTCATGTGACATGAAATGTGATTTCAGTAACTCTGTTTTTACGTTGCACCATCACTTGAAAATATTTCCCAAGTGGTATTGGATTTCTTAAGACAAAATCAAACACTTTTGTAGCTGACTTTGGAGTATGAGAGTGGACGTAAACTATTATAATCTGTACGATCAATCATGTTAACTGTTTCTCCAATATCCAGTACAACTTGATTTTTATTTCTTCCTGTGATTCATGGAGAAGAAAATCCATGACGAGTAAGCATGTATAACTTTTCTGGTGTTTCTTCATGCTGTTTTATATGGATCAAATAAACAATATGACTCTTTCGTCCTTGCTGTGGAATGCGGTATGTCTTTAATGAGATTTTCAATAGCAGCATCATACACAGTGGTTCTTATTTTCACAGCTCCAGCACAACTTTCCTGTCACTAAGAAGGGCTGTTTTTGGTGGGTATTGTTTGTCACAGCTCATAAACGTTTTTTATTGAACGTGCTTTTTTATGGAGCAAGTAAAGTACTTTACTGAGACACATTTGATTTCACTTCCTTACACATTTCTAGCATTCGTATTTGTTCTGTTGATCTCACTAGTGTCATTGTTATATTTCTGTATTTGGTCTTTGCTGACTACGTGTTGTTCTGATACTTCTAGTTCCCTTCATATGTCTAAGAACTCAGTAATAGTGAGTTTGGTTTCTTATAAGGCTCGGTGAGATCTGGTGAGTTAGCTTTAGACCTATTGGTATCGATGTTACCCTCAGTTGGCAAATTAAAGGTTTTCTGGAACCAAGGAAGGCGTCAAAGACTGGTATTAGCCTTTAAATTATATTTTCCCTACCAAAGTGAGATCTGGCATGATTAGAAGTTCGGAAAGAATAACTTTGGTGTCTTTAAACAACTTGTTTCTATATGTTCAAGACATGGATGAAAATTGTGTGAAGACATTGAACTGAGTAAAAACTTTGTTTTTGTTTTGACTTGTCTCTCCTTTCTGTAAGTTTGGAGGGACATATTTTGCTGTCGTAAAATCAATTTTTCTTGAAAAATGTAACATCAGCATGCTATGTCTGAATTGTCTCCGTTAAGCCACCCTACAGTGTAGCCTTAGATAAGAACAACATCTTTGACACATTTAGGACGACACGTGTAACTATTGGAACTGTGTCGAGTTAGTAGCTGTAATATACCTATAGTAGAACAAAACTAGTGTTTATGAAGATACAAGATACTAAATAATAAGTTAAAGAATACCTGAATCTTCCAAGAAAATATAATAATACTAAACATAATACGAAGAAAACAACATATTAAACATATTATGAGATATGTCTAATACTACTCTATAAATTAACTAAAAGCTACTCTCAAGTTGGTTGTTTTGATGTCCAGTTTAGAACAATTTTTTGAAAAACCAAACCAATTTGGGAACACCATCATACCTATTACTTAGGTACGTCACAAACAAGTATATCTAAGTTGTATCAACTCTATCCTCCCACATAACTATTAGGTCAGAAACCACACATGGTCATCAAAACCTTAGAGATCGATGAGCCAGTTTGGATTAGCAATGACTAGAGATGCCGCAAACATTAAGGTCGTGCTTGTGGTGAGTCAATAACTATCTGTTTCACACTGAGAACAAGTAAAAACTAGAAAACAATAGTAAATAGTTATTTCAAAAGTATAGAATTGCATAACTTAGGATATAAATGTACCGCAGGGAAGTCGATTTTGTGAGGCCTTTGTTTCTTATAGTTTCGACAAAACGTTGTGATGTCTTTTTCTTTGTAAATTAGAATGTAAATGAGAGTTTTCTAAATCCTTAAACCTTGTTATCCAAGCCAAAAAACGATAGAACAGTCGCTGAATATGTCTGCTTAATTTTCCGTACCTTTTAACATATACAAAGAAAGTTTTGAAACAAGTAGTATGTACCAATAATAAAGATATGTTAGGTAAGGTGTTATATAAAAGATGTTTTGAATAAAACACAGGAGGAAAAGTTTCAAATAAAATGTTACATGTGTGTTGTATTGGATGAAATATATCATCATTTGTGTTTTGAGAGAAAATATAACACAAGGTATTTTTAAAGATATATGTAATTTTATAGCCAAAAACTGCGATATTTAATCTTTCCAAAACCAGAAATAAATAAATTTTTATCCAGGTAATTATTTTCATATCTTTTATGCAAGGTATTCCGTCTTAGTTAGTTAATGTCCTCATAAACAAGATGTAACAGGTCATAAACTTATGCTTCTCCTCTAGCTTAAACATATGTTAATATTAAAATGATTGTTAAGAAGGGCTTATACTTGCTTGACTCTGTTTCTGTATCATCACTCCCTTGTAGTGAAAGCTGTACTGAAGTTGAGGAGCGGAACAGATACCTGCACAGATTAGTTTGAGCTATGGGCTAAACGTGTTTAATGAGAACAAATGTTAATGTAGGCAATGTAGAATTGTGGGATATCACACTGGGAACTGCCATTGTGACTTATTAGTGCAATGTATCATTTTTTTTTTATCTTGTCACTGTCTGGAAAGTACTCTCTGCTTCAATAGTTGGTTGAAATCTGAATATAGTTGAACAACAAAATTGGCCAGTTCAGTAAAGCCCTTGTATTTTCATCATTGTTCTGTGTCAGAAGTAAAGATTGTTTGTTTTCTGTTTACATGTGTGCCTGGGACTTTTTTCTTTGTCGTCCAAGTACAGAATGTTCTCTGCATGTCTTATTATAAAATTTAATTGTATTGTGAATTACTTACAGCTTGTCTGCCGAATATCATTGTACCCGAATACCAGACTAGCATGAAAAGTATTTTAAGTATGATTGCTATAGTACTAGTTTTTATAGTAAATCAATATCGAGCACATAAAATACTTATGCAATAACCAGACACAACTTCATATTAACGGTTCATTATTTTATTTACAATTTTCATTACAATTTATACATATTACGTAGGGCAGTTACATCTTGCGGTCGTTTTGGAAGTGAACATTAAATTGTTAAAATTACGATATAATTATCATAATATGAACCAAGTCTAATTCATAGACACTTTTATTTATGAACATTTTTTTTTTATTATTTGCGATCATAAAAATGTGCTGATTCGTTCACTAGAACAATATACAATAAAATGTATATGATATGTTAAAACAACCCCAGTTTTTGAGAGATAGTATTAAAATGTAAGTTTACGTTTTTTATGCAATAGTTTCCTAAGATTTATTTCGCGCAAATTTTAAAGCAGCTACTAATTAGGACGTATAAAGAATAGTTCATATTTTTATTTTTTATGCCAGTTCAATAAGGCAAGTTTTTTATTTTTAATACGGATTTTTTCTTTTATTAATAGATATAATATTTCTCTTATTAAGAGCTTTTGACGCCATTTTGTTTAGAATGGTAATGAGGATTAACCACCCTGAACATTAGCTGTTGTAGCTCTTGCTTGTTTTTCTTTTTTCCTCTGTGTGTTTTCGTTGTTGTTGTTGTTGTTGTTTTACGTTTCTATATGAATTAATACAGCTTTTCATTTCTTTTTTCTTTTTGGAGGGGGAGAAAAGTGATGGGGTCAATTGACAGGTGAACCTACTGTTTTGGGGGTTGTCCGGCTCGTTAGCATTGCATAGCCTATTAAAGGGCAAGCTGAGCCGGCGGTCTCGCTCCTGGCTGGGCCTCTGCCTGCCAAACCATGTAAACTGTTGGGCCACCCAGGTTGTAAAAGCGCTGCCTAATGTGGCCACGATAGATTTGACGATAGCAAACAAGGCCCACTGACGACTGAGCTCTAGAAGTCTGCTCATTGGAGCAAAGAAGGAAGAAGCCGACGGCTAAGAAAACCGTGCGATGTCAGATGGAAATAGCAAAAGCTCTTAGTCGTGCTCGAGCAACGGACGTTAAGCCTTCCATTCGTTCCATTTAATCGAGTCTAGTGACACGGAACTTATAACGAGAAAGACACTCCAGCTGATTTAATATATCTTTCTTATAGTAATAACCTTTTGTTGACTAGATTCCATGTCTGTACTGTTGGAACTATGTTTAGAGGTTTTGAATAGTGTCTCTGTCTTCGCACGCACGACGTAACCTCCCTGCCATGTGTTTAGACGTTCTTAGCGTTGGTCGGCGGTTCGAGAAACCCACTCGCTTCATGTGATATCGTTGATAAACTGGCCATAAATACTAGCGAACTTTTATTATTCTATGAACCGCAGTTGACCTTCAATGACCTGGCCGTGGAAAAAATTTAAGGTGAGTTTTTGTTTTCACCTCTCTCTAATATCAAACTTTGAGCTGAGTACGTTTCTCATGTCACGTGGGAGTACCTTTAAAAATATAGAAAGAATTAACTGTTGTGCACGTGATGTGTATCTTTCAGTGAAGATTTGAAAAGTTTCTATGCATTTACTAGATGTAAATAATTTAACTACATTTTCGGCATTTGCTATAACACATAATAATGTTTCTATAGTACTTGCTGCTGTTAACGGAGAATTTTTTGAAATAACTGAAATAATTGAATATTAATGTGATGTACCTTAACCTTAGAATCAGTAATATGGGTTCTTGACCCCTTCGGATTTTTAAACACATTTTCTATATTATTTATGCACCATCTTGTTTGCGGGTTCCTTAATACAGGGTCCCTAATGACTAATGAGTCACGCACAAAAAACTAACAAAGTAATAGTAATGTTAATATTGCCATAAATCCCGCCAATTACTGTTAGAGTTTCCTGTGTATTTAACGTAGAAACCGAGTGATTTCACCCACTACACTGGTTGTAGTAACGGGTAAAACACCAGTTACTGTGATGACTTATAAGTAAGAACGAAAAACTTGTGTATTTAATTAGCTATGCTCGTTACCGAGTTGATTTTTATTTTTCATCGAAGAATATATCTTGCTCTGATCGGAAGTGAACGGCATATACAAACAAGTATGTAATTTGAGAGTTAAGACAGTACAACGAACAGAGGGAATTTCGTTTTATATCTGGTTTAAAACAGAACGTAATTCCTGTCAAATTTAAGTTTTTTCTGGAGGTGTGTGGTGGGATATACTTAAACTTTCAGAGCAAACTATTATCAACTGTATAGTAGCAACGTTTAGAGCAAACCGTTATCAACTGTGTAGTAGCAACGTTTAGAGCAAACCGTTATTAACTGTGTAGTAGCAACGTTTAGAGCAAACCCTTATCAACTGTGTAGTAGCAATTTTTAGGGCAAACCGTTATTGATGATGAAATTAATCCATTTACTCTAAGTAGAAACACATGTGGCATATGATATTCAAGATTATCAATCCTTTTGTTTTTCATCACCCTGTCCAATGAAAACAGTAGTAGTAAAAGGTAACTAACAACTAGGGAACTACATCTTGTTAATCAACTGTTCTACTAACCTGTTTATCCTATCTTCGTATCCCACTTAACTATCCTATTAATCTATTCTACCTAACTATGTGTGTGCATGTTCTTCTTCTATTTCTCTTTAACAGAAATGCAATAAATAAACAACGTGGCAATTAGTCATGCGAAATGTTAGCCATAAAAAAGACACTGGCCTCTTACTAATCCAGACCGATTAGCTTCGGACGCGTTAATGAGCAAGTTATGTTAAGTAAACATTATTTGTAATGTACTAATTAAAGGTTATATTATACCAACATTATCTGTGATGTATTAATTAGAAGCTATACTATATCAACATTGACTGTAATGTAATAATTAGAAGTTATGTTGTATCACTATTACCTGTAAAGTAATATTTAGAAGTTATATTGTATCACTATTACCTGTAAAGTAATATTTAGAAGTTATATTGTATCACTATTACCTGTAAAGTAATATTTAGAAGTTATGTTGTATCACTATTACCTGTAAAATAATATTTAGAAGTTATATTGTATCACTTTTACCTGTAAAGTAATATCTAGAAGTTATATTGTATCACTATCACCTGTAATGTAATAATTAACAGTTATATTGCATCAACATTATCTATAATGGCGTCATTTCACATTAAACATGAGCATGCATAACACAGACAGTTATTTCAACACACGAAAATCATGCAAAGCTTTACCCGTAACAGGGTTTTTACTTGGAGTGTGAAATATTAATTATTGTGTATTCAGAAGAAGCAGTTGCCCAGTGTGTCCTGTGTAGAAATGTGCAGCACATTCCGAATGTGTTTGCTTCAAAATATCGCGCAAAGCCACACAAGAGTTATCTATACATAGCCGTCCCTAATTTTGAACTTATGAACTAGAGGGACGACAGCTAGTCAACAACACCCACCACCAATTATTTGGCTACTTTCGTCTGCCCGAATAACGTGATTTGTACAGCGCACCTACGGCACAAGTGCTGAGCAAAATTAGACGGCAACTAGTTATGAACCAAGAAATGATGAGTTCACAGTCCGAGCACGCTAACTAGTAAGTCACACCTGGGCTATTTACTATTAAAAATGCCCCCCAGTGGCACATCGGTATGTCTGCAGACTTACAACGCTA